GGGGGGGGGGGGTCTCTCGGGATGTGAGCGGGGAATAATGAAATCAGATGACTGATTTTCCGTGTAACTCAATCAGAAAGGGGCCGCCATTTTGGGTCGACAGGGCCAACTGCGTAATTCGTGGGGAATCGGAGAATTGCGGAGGCAACCGGCGGGGGATCGCGATCTTTGGGGACAATTAGTCATGATGTGGACGAGGAAAATGCGGGTAATTGTTATAAATGGGGGATTGATGCGTTTTCGGGGCTGCGATCGGCATTTCCGATTTCGCAAAGTCATGGGAATTATTTTAATGCGAAATTTCGGGGGTTAATTATAGGCCGTTGCGTCATGATTTCGGAAATTGGAATGTACATGCTGGTCGGCGGATTTAGAGCCAGCTAGCGGAGAGGCGGTTTCCTTGTTGAGAGGAATTGGTTTTCAGTTTTTGGTATTTTTGGGTTTTCCTTGTTTTCGGGTCGAGAAGAGGAAGAAAACGTTGGGATCATAACATTTTTCATTTGTCCGGTAATTTTTAATCACTTCTATCTTTATTTGAAATTCTGTAAATTAATCTTTCTGTCATGACAAATCAATTAATTTGTCTTTCGTGAAACTGCCAAAGTAATTCTAATTTTTTTAAAATCAATTGCCTAATTTGCGAAGAAAAAAATCGAAAAATAAAATAAAATTCTCACACGAAACGGGAAATTATCATTGTTATCGTTGATTGCGGCATAAAAATATTTTAATTATTATTCTTGAAATCCGGAGTGTTGTTATCTCTTACAAATACCGACACTGGCTGGTTTCCAGCGCGGAGAATCGGAAAATTAAGAGACATGGTATAAGAAGATAGATAAGTTTCATTGGGAATTCTTGCTAACAATTGTTTTTTGTTTTTTTTCTCTCTATTTTCAGGTGACAAATTTCGTCTGGTCCTTGCGACCACCTTGAGGGAGGACGGCTACCCAGATGGCGGAGATTGGACTGCGATTGAGCAAGAGGGTGGCTCACGTGCTGACAGTTTTGAATATGTCATGTCTGGAAAGGTGTATCGCATTGAGGGAGACGAGGCAAGCAACGAACCAAGCACAAGGCTGTGAGTAAATATACATCAGTTTTTTTGTTGATCAATTGCTCTGACATCCCCGTACGGGAGAGAAAAATACGATAAATTTATGCGAAAATGACTGGAACGTAGCAAGAAGGAGATGGAGGAAAAAAAATTGAATATTTTCAGATGGATGAGAAATTAAATTTATGAATAATTGATGAGATCGAGATTTTTGCACGAAATATAAGGAGAATATGAATATGAAGAAATGCAAAAAATGGATGAGATGGAGTTATTTTGTTTCGCATTCCTGGACGAAATGTATGAAGAATATGAATTTGAGGGAATGAAAAAAAAAATGAAAGCCGGAGGTGGGATTTGAACCCACGACCCTTAGGTTTCCAGTCTGAGTCTTTACACTCTTGGCTATCGACTCATAACTTTATAAACCCAAATTTAATTAATCACCATTATGGATATCCAAGTGTTTTTAACAGTTTGGTACAGACCACACTATAGATTCAACGATTTTCAATCATCAAACTTGTCAGTTAAATTATGTGAAATTTTTTTTTTTAAATCGTGAATATTCCATGTTATTCAAATATCATTTTTCACAGAATTGTGATTTTTTTTAACCTTCGTTGTTTCTGAATAAATAATTGAAATTGTTTAAACTTTTGAAAACCTAATTTTTTTAGGCATAAAATCGATTTCTGCTAAAATTGTTTGTAGAAAATGCTCGTAATTTCGTCCGGAAACTTGGGGTCAAACGGGGCTCAAATGAAAGCTCTGATGTTCGACTGCAAAAGTAAAAAAGCATTTAACTAGAGAAAGAAAAAGCCAAAGTACGTGGACATCCTTAAATGGATGAAATGCTTACTACTGACTCTTGGGACAGATATTTCTTCTAGAACATGTCGAATCGAGAGAAAAAAAACAGAAACCGAAAAAAAAAATTAAAGCATTTTCACTCCCCTAAAACAATCCATCAAATGACAAATAGAGAGAAAAATTAATGGGCTGTTCAAAATAATTCACAACTATAGATTTTCAATAAAAGATATAGTACGTCGATCCACACGAGTTCATACATTATTTCCTCTAAAAAAGCAGCTCCCAGACTACCAAATTAACTAGTTTCCTCAAAACGAATCAACGATTTCGAACACTTCAATCCACTCAACCATTAATTTCTCGTATTTTTCTCTCTCCCTGTATCAACGTTTCGGATAAGGTTCTCAGGCCCCGCTGCAGTCCAATTTATCACGGTCTCTTCCAATGCATTACTGGAAGCATCCTCGACGATGTTAGTTTTTTTTTCTCTCCCACATAACGAATGTATGTCACGAAAGACGGAATCAATACTCAATATGGATTTTTATGCGAATCACTCTGCAATTATCAGAAGTAATTGCGAAAACGTTCTTTTTCGTCCTGGAATTGCCATTAATCCATTCCAGGCGTATGCGACTCGTTCAAAAGGAGTCGAACGGTAAATCGAATAATTCGAGGGAGGAATTTAATTTTCGGTTCAGTGAAAATTGGAGGAATACATCTGCCTTTCGGGGGACTAAAACCCCCGGTTCATGCGCATTCTCGTGCCCCTGTTCGTCATAAACTACGATTGATTGTCATTCTACGTGGAGGAGGTATCGGGTGTGCGGGGCGAGAGAAGAGACTGTTTGAAATTGTCGTGGAACATGCGGGGGAGGACACTACTGTAATTTGAAAGTCCTGCAATAAAAAAATGGCCTCCGTGAAATATTTATCACATGTGTAGTCACTAAAAAAATTTGTGTTTAAAACAAGTGGGAAATTGCTCGTGTATTGCATACGGTATAGTTATTTTTGCTAATAAATTAGCAATATGCTTTCGAATGGTTATTTTGCACATAATTTCCTTCTATCACGTATAATTCGTTGTTTATTTCGTTTTATTAAATTGAATAAGATTTCTTTTCAACTAATTTTGTCAGATTTTCAAGTTTGTTGAATGTTATCATCATTATTATTCTTATTATCCCTTTCTTCTATACAACCGATTGTCTTTTTTACGGTTCTATCTCTCCCCTCAGCCCTTCGATAAAATGTTAATAGAAAAATTTTCTTTACACATACTTGAATGAATTTAAAATATCACATTTGAAGAAACCATCAGAAAGCTCACTTTCAGGGAAATTCATGAAAAATTCGAAATTTTCAACAATCATCATGAAAATCAAATCAACCAATATAGCTATCGTAATAATCTTTTAACTTCGACTTAATGGCATTAAAACAAACATTTTAAGCTATGATTAAATTCATTTGAAGCATGATATTCAAAGATATCCCCGGAATTCTGATTTTCAAAAAATACAAAATTTTTGCAAATTTTCAAATAAATCAAAATAACGATTATTGCTATCGCCTTCATCTTTGAACTTGGTCAAAAGGACATCCAAACAAATTTTTCAAGCCATTATTCAATCAATTCAGAAAATTTTTTTTAGTTATCGTGGGACAACCGATTTTCAAAAAAATGCGAAAGTTAAAAAAAACTAATCGATGAATTAAATTGTTCAGAACACTGGAATAAACAAAACTGCAGACGGAAAAGTTGAATCTGATGATTTTTCCATTTTAGATCACCCGGAAATCGGAAAAATGACACAATACGAAAAAATTGAATTAGTCAACTTGCTCTGATTCAATTTGTTTTTCCAGATTTGCGGGGGATCTAAAATCTAAATGAAAATCATACGATTAAAACTTCCTGAACATTATGAATCATTTTGAAGACGATCCGATCATCTGCAGACCCTTTGTAGATTTTCAAAGAGCAAAATCGTTTTTTTCCTGAATAAATTTTCTAGTGACTACACATGCCTCAAAAATCTCACGGAGTCAATTCTTTTATAGCAAGACATTCAAATTTCCGTAGTGTCCCCCCTTAATGTCTCCTTTATTACCGACTCCCGGTTGAATCGAGTTTTATGTTCGGTGCGTGGAACTGACGCTGAAAAATCATCGTAATAAATCCCACAATGTCCAAAATTATCGCATTATTTGGCGAGGCGAACCGTATCAATCCGAAATGGATTTTATACCGATTAAAAAATCGATGACAGCCTCAGGATAGAAATCAAATTAAAATCGTTCGATGATTGTGAATTTACCAAGAGCCAGAAAATTGTCGTGAATTACTCAAGGCACATGAATAGTGACGCACAGAAGATCCTCATGAAAAAATCGATGAGAACTGGATTTTAGGAGGAAACGAGGAGCCGAACCGACGAAGGATGAAGAGAATTCAGGTGTTAGCCCTCGTAGAACAGGGATCCACTCTGGGTTCACTCTGTTGATAATGAAGCGAGTGAACACAGCTGGTGGTATCTCAGTTTTCTGAGGGCGTTGTCGACGTTTGTCCGTCCGTACCGGCGGACTAATCAACTATAACTATTGCTGGGGAAAAAAAAAAAATGATCATACGACTGACGTCTGATTGGACATCGCGATGAATTCTGCACGGGGCGTCACCGCTATGACGATGGAACTGGAATTGAGATGCTGATGTGATGGAATGATGGCTCTCTGGCCATTATTTGTGCACTGATAGCGCAGATCCTTGAAACGAGTCTTTTGCGGAATTCTTTTAGTTCTTGTCGAGAGAATGCAGTAGTGTTTTCAGAATTTCGTCGGAGCCTGGACCTGGGAGGACACTATTATTCGGAAGAAGTTGACAATTTTACTGCGTCGAAGGCGTCTTTACTAAATATCAACGAATATTCGTTGAGTCGCATTCAATTTTAGCAGTTGAGAAACGCCGTTAATGGTAGATCAGTCGTCACACTGTTGGAAATTTTCTCAAATTCAAGTAACAGAACAGAACAAAATACTTTATTTCCTTGATGCCACTGTTACAGTTTTACGTTTACACAATTCATAGGAAAATACTCATAGGAACGCTCCAATAAATTATGTTTTCATATCAAATAAAATTTCAAATAATGTGTAATGAGTAATGATAATTTCTAATAATGGAATGAAACTATTTTATTTCTTATTGAATAGTTGAATTGAATTATATTTTTTACTCATCTTGAAGATTGAAAAAAAAGCGAGATTTCGAGTTGTACAATTATTGGTATTTTAATTATAGATTGAATTTTCAAACTCATTGGAAAAATTGAAGATTACATTCAATTTGTTTCTAATAGATTGAAATCAATAATTGCCACAATTTCCGTAATTTTTCAATATTTTAATTACATTGAATATTCCAGAAAATTTTTTTATCGAAGAATCTGAAATTCTTACTGAGTCATGTCGTCATTTATTTATTTATTATTATTATTATTCAATAATATTAGTTGAATTCAATTTAATTTTTTATTTACTCTGAATATTGAAAAAAAATTAGAGTAATTATTGGCATTTCGATGATTGATTGAATTTTAAAACTCATTGGAAAAATAGAAGATTACATTCAATTTATTTCTGACTAAATTGGGATCGCTAATTGCCACAATTTTCATATTTTTGCAAAATAATAGTTCTTTTGAATAGTCGAAAAATTAACCGATTTGTTAATAACAAGATGTGTGCAAATTTCGTATCAATTAAAAGTATTTGAATTTTGTTGCTTGAAATTTTGAGATTAATTTTCCAACAGTGCAGTGTGCCATCGAGTGGAGTAATCGTAATCACCTACTTAGTACTATTTTCATAAATAATGCACAATATAATACTGTTTTCATAAATTATTTCATATCATGTTTCGTATCAATGACTGTAATCATTTTATTATTAAACGCTCTTCAACCGCTCATCTAATCACTCATTTTTATTCATCACCATTCCATTCGGATCGTACACACATCACCATGCCGAGGGAACTGCGGGGTCATTTGGAAATGACTGGGCTTCCATGAAACTGAGGCTGATGAATTTATGGGAATGCTCCCACTGCAGGGGATTTTGCGATCGAGGGGTGAGTGGGGACTGGAGAAGTAGTAGTGGCTTGGTTTGGTCAGGCGTATCGGTGGATTGGGGAGAAATTC